GGGGTAGGGGTTTAGGGTTTAGTGTTTTGGGGTGAGGTTTCTGTTTGTGCTGTACGTCGTTGTGTCCTAAACCCTAAGCCCTAAACCAGTTTCTTGAGAGCCATGTCGATAGTGTAGATAGTAGTGAGTAGGGCTCAGGCTGTAGGCGATTAGGAAGCGTGATCCTTGCGGTGTCGGAGAGCCGAAAGGTTGAATGCCCGCCAAAGGGCACTCATCTTTCCTAAACCCTAAACCTTGAACCCTATCATCTCTAATAACCCTTATTACAATCCCGAATCCTCACTTAAACCGTAAATCCCTAAACCCTAAAGCCTTATAAACCCTAAACCATAATCTGTTTTTATCCCTAGACCCTAAATCTTTAAACCCTCAAGCCTAAATCTTTAAACCCTAAACCCTAAATCTTTAAATCCTAAACCCTGACCTCAAATCTTTATAAAAATCCCTCAGTCACTCACCTCTAAAGGTGCCAGCAACCCGGTGCCTTTGATTCTGGGCTGCCTCCTGTCCCGGGCCGCGAGTGCTGGGGTGGCGGTCGACGAGGAGGCGCCTTCGATTTCGCAAAGTTTGGGGTTTTTGGGACTTGGGTGTAGGGTCTATAGGTTTAGGGTCTAAGGGTTGAGGGTTCAGCGTTCTACTTAGGGTTCTATAGGGTTTAGGGAAGGGGTTTAGGGTTTAGGGTCCTGGGTTTAGGGTCTAGCTCATGCTTTATCCGATGTAAGGCAGACCGGCGTGACGCAGGCTCAGAGCTCGGGATGCAATCCTGAAGCCGAAACCCTCAAATACTAAACCCTCAATTGCATGGTATTGCACCCCGAAGCGCGATAATGAAACTGATGACGACATTATGACGATGGCTGCTGAACTTAGCACTTAATCACATTCCGTTTGTTTAACGCATGCAGGTTTAGCCAGATTGCGCTGTTCTCCTGGATATCAGTTCGGAGGTGGCGGGCTAAGGCTTGAAAGGAGTTGGACACGACCTCAAGATTATCAAAGGCAGCTCCCGGATCCCCCGTCCACGAAGCTTGTCATAGTCCCTACACCGGAAAAAAGAGAGAAAAGCCCAGACCTGGGTCCCCTTTTAATGGGACCCTATCATAGGGTTTTGGGTTTTAGGGCCTTAGGGGTTTAGGGCTTTAGGGCTTTAGGGTGTTGTTTGAAGTGTCACCAATAATTACCATTCCCTCCGGCTTCTAGTATAATTACTGCATAACACACCCGAAGACACTGTTCTAATTTGTGCTGGCTCCTACACCACCCTTATGGTAACCCTTAAAATATAGAAACCCGTAGAAGAAACCCCCGACGTAAACCCCAAACCCCAAACCCC